TGTTGGACATACTGTGCGTACAGTTTGCCATGTGCTCATATCCTGGAGGCCTACTTAAACTCAAATCTAAACTGTGGTATGTTCCATTTCCTTAATTGTTAATCTTAGGTATTCTGAGAAATAGTGATAGGTGGAGACGTCAGTATAACATGATGGACAACATTCCGCGAGCCATCCACTTAACACCGGATCCAAACAACGCGTTTCCAAATGCTTATCAACGTTTAAAATGTCGTCCCAACAGTCTGAACCAAAGAAATCCGGATGTTGCACTGTGGGAAATATCAGAATTCACTAGAGGGTTGGCCAGTTTGCTGGCGAATGAACCACAAACAACTTTAAGACCACAACATGTCCCTGTTAATCGCTTATTTTTGTGAAAATGTTTGTAATACCATATTGTTTCCATATGTGTTCATAATATAAACATATACGTCTAAACTGCTGTTACACCTCCTTTCCTTTGAATAGCCTAAGAGTGACAGATTGATGCATACTTTGGTTGATTGTTTCGTGATGAGAGCGCTTTGGAAGTCAGTTAGAAATTACACCGATTTGTGCCTTATTTACTTCGTTTTACCAGCCGAAGATTTCTGCTTCATAGCATATCCTGAGTAACAGTTACTAATACGATTTATCCCTTTTGCCGTAGCAATCTCAATCTTCCATCAATTCTAAACTTTATTCTAACCTATTCTTCGATAATGCCTTTTTATAGTAAATGAAGATTTTATCTACCCACTATATTCTGAAATAACGCTGATCGTGTTTAAAAAGAAAGCTGGGTGCAAAATGAAGTCTTTTCGTTTTGAAGTAACGCTAGTCCGTGCCTAATATATCCTGTGAGGGCTGAAACAACGCTGATAAGCACACCCAGCAGGTTCTAATGTACTTCTGAAAATGCCTAGCCAAAGGAAAGGGTGCTGAATTAGTGCCAGTCATGGTGAAGACCAGCACTGAGTTATAGTCTGTGCCATTAGAGAATCCAGTTCATAACAGATTCAGAATTTACTCACTATAGTATGTCAGAACTATTTCAGAATTAGTAAGATTTAATTCAGAATTATAATAAGCTTGGGATGCTTAAAAGACCAACCTTACAACAATTCCCAGCAAAATCTAACCAACGCATCAATAATGCCTTTTTACGGTCAATGAATATTTCATCTACTTGTAGTGAACCCATTATTTACTGAAATATCCATGATCCTTCTTTAAAAAGAAAACTGGATGCTGAGCCTGGGACAGGAGGGCTGCAATAAGGCTGATAAGCTACTTCTGGAAATGTGAAAAAGAAGAGCAAGGTGGTGAATTACAGCCAGTCATGCTGATTAACCAGCGCACAGTTCCAGTTTGAGCAAATAATCAAACAACGGTAGAACATTTACGGAGTTTAATTAATAAAGAATGTTACTATATTAGCATAGTATACGTCAATTAGCTCAATGATTGCAAGTTAACCATAATCCTTAACACCAACATAATAACTAGGAACTTCAGGCTAAAAAATAAGCATCATGGTAGCATCCAGTGACAAAAACTGACCTACACACTACAAAATAAGCAAAACGTCCAAAAAAAACCTTAAAATTTCAATAGGAAAACAATTGACGAAAACATATAACCAGCAGACGCAGGAACCCATCATGACCTTGAAACTGGCTTTAGCGTCTTTCTCAGAAGACAGCATCTAATAGATTCTCCTCACAATCGGTAGATAGCTAAATGACACGGAAAATACAGTGGAAATTAGTCAGGCATTCGAACTAATGAATGCGGGAAGAGAAGCACAATAGTTTTGGTTGACGGGAGCCACTACCATCAAAAGACTTCACCTTAACCTTTGCATTCATAATGAGTGTGATTCATCGCCCACTTCCCTGGTAACCATAATTGTTCTGGTCGTGTGCTTTTGTGTTTTGTCCTGTTGCGTAAAATCCCATTCAATCTTGGTTTCGATTTTCACTCACTGAGTTCAACGCACTTATAAGGTTCTAAATTTACTGAGTCAAATTGAATTATTTTATATATTTTAGAGTTTTGGTTCGTATTTAACACCACCCTCTCCAAGCCTCCATCATAATATGTATAAATTAAATCTGTTTTTCAATCTTGCATTTTGTCTCTGGTCCATCCTTGTCTCCAAGTGAAAACAGAACTGCAAACTCTTGTCTTAGTCTTTTGAATCATGGAAAATACCCATCGGAACATTAGATTGAAAAGAACAAGAATTTTAGCTGAACTTCTTGTTCTTTTTAGTCTTTTGACACTAAATAAATGTTTACTTACATCATCTTTCAAATCACGTTGCCTATACTTTCTATCTATAACATGAGATCATTGTAAAAATTATGTTCAAACGCTATTTTGCAACATATAAACGATTTATTAAGTATGTACGCTGTTGAAGAGAGAGAATCAACGAAATAAAATGAGCTCGTATTATCCAAACTGCAAATATGTTCTCTCTTTTTGTATTCAAACTAATAAGGGGAGCAGGCTGTATGTGATGGTTTAGTGTGATGACAAAACGCTTTCGAACGCATAAAGGTAGTCCTAACTGGTAGGACTTCCACAAACACTTTCTACGGGTGACCTTAAAAGACGTCCGCACAACAATTTTATGTTCTGTTTCTAAAATTCATACACTATCTAAAGGTTAAATGAATAATATCAACCTGAGGTGTAAAATTATCGTCGAATGCGATGCGTTGTAATTTCATCAATTATGTATTACAAATCATACATTTCTGAGGCAGTTTTATAAGACTTTGAAATTTAGTAAATTACAATCAAATGTCTCTAATATTGTTCACCTTAGAAATGCAAATATCGAAAAGCTGCTCTTCACATCGATGCATAGTTTATTTAATCTGTATTATCAATAAAACGCTAAATGAAATCGCCTCAGTGTTTTAGCAATTTTCCTTAGAAAACAAAGACAAATATTTAAAATAAGTTGAAAAGTTCAGTTGATGATACATTCTACGTAACTCGTTTTTCCTGTTGAATCCCGGTAAATATGTGTGAGAAATCTTTCGGTCATTAGTCTATCTACTCATCGGAGAGATGCTTCTTCTCTTCGATCGAAATTTTGTGTTTCTCGCATACAATTTACGGATTCAGCCATCCATCCTGAGTTCGAAAATTTGGAGGACAAACGCGAAACTCTTTTCGCAACACCCGATGAAGATCAGATTTGGTTCTAAGCCAAGATGGTGGATATAGCTCACCAGTTTTCAAACAGCAATCTGAAACAGGAAAGCATTTTACCTTCCCATCAGTTCAAAGCTTTGAAATAGTTGCAGGAAAGCCATAATACAACAATAACGAAACGTGATGAAATGTTCTGGAGTTCTCATCATGTACAAAAGTTACAACAAATCTAAGGTGTTATCTATTCTTGCTGAAAAAATTAATTCAGACGTTCTTCTTCTTCAGAAGATATTCAGTTTTTGCGATACACAGTCACACTGTAATTAAAACCGAATTTGACCCTCTGAAATCATCAGAGTGCGAGCTCCAACATATGTATGGTTGACCAAAAACACATACACCCGATAATCCTCTTTGTCCTACATTCACAACGTGCAGATTTACAACACATAAACTAGCTAAATGGTTAGTAGAATTATTGCACACTGTTAAACCACAATTCTGTAAGTGTGTGTTAAAAGATACATTTTGAATAAAAATATGTATTGTTTTGATGTGAACTCTTTATTCACCGATGTGCCTTTGCTTAAGACAATCGACATTTTGCGTGATTACATTTCCACACATAACTTTCTCATCCCGTTCCATATATATTTTGTTGAAAGGATTTATTACTACTACTTACTAGCAGTGTCAGGTTTATCTTTGAAGGAGACTGTTACCATCAAGTTGATGGTGTTGCTATGGTAAGTCTGTTGGAGTGACCTTTTAGCAGACATTTATATGTCGTATAATCAATGTTTATCGGAATACCTGATCGAAACTGCACTACTTTGAAGACGATATGACGACAACAGTGTATTTGTAAGCGATATGTCTTGTTCTGCCACTGAATTCGTCATGCTAATCACCCTCGGCATAAACGTCTAATAATTTCTTTTATCACTGACAATATTATCATTATTTTTGCTACAACTGCAATCACCGTTATTGCTGTTACTCAAATCAATTAACACATTAGTTTTGATTCACAAACTCACTATAAACTGTCGAATTTTATTGTACATATACATTAGAATGAACTCTGAAAGGGATCTAGTTGGAGACAGTTTTTTTCATTAATATGCGTAATTTTAATTTGAACAATATTCCAAACTAATTTGTTTGTTAAATGTTTAGCTGTGTTTCACAAACGGAATGTTGTGTACATTCTGATACAAGTAAATATTTGCGATTGTTCAACTAAGCGAATGAATTCACTGCTGACCTATTTATATCCTAATTCGAAGTCTGTAATCAAATTCAAACTCTATACTAACCCCCTGTGAGTAGATCTCATTACACTAATGAGTAGTACAGAGAGGTTTTTCTCAGTAAGCAATTCAGTTTTGTATAGCATTTCATTCTCTAAGTAAAATTTTGGCGAGACTCATTGGAACAGCAACCATGCCCAATTTGTTCGATTTCACACTGGATATTATTTTTCTAATTTAAGAAGCTTGTCAATAATACGGTATTCCATGAAATGACGATATTTTGTGTCCTTCGACTGGAAATACTTTGTTAGGAACTATTCAATCGCCAAACGCAGTATAACATAAAGGACGAAATTATCTAAACTACGAGAATGAAATTATGAAAGATAGTACAAGACAGATTATTTCAGAGATGAATTTATTGTTTTAATTATTACAGAAAATAAAATCATTAAGTTTGTGTTAAATTAGTTACAGACTAACTACAGTATTATTATTATGAAGAAACAATATTACAATTACATATTTCAAAGATTAAGTTCAACAGATGCACGGCAATTGTTCATTACAAAATATGCGAAGTATTGACTACTCATCTGAAATTGAATAATTGTGAAGAACGTGTTCATTATTATTAAATTATTGAAACGTTTTACCTTGAAGACTTAGTAAAAAGTGAAATACATCCACAATTATCTGTTGAATAAATATAAATTTAATAATTAGGCTAATAGGATTACTACGTCTTGAGCTCTAGATCGTATAGTGTCTTCATATCTGTCAAACGATTCTGAGTATTTACGCACCTATGATCTGCAAATAGTTATGGGTATCTTACGAAATTTAGGAAAAATTTAGGAAATCACAAAACACTTTTGTAAATCACCAAAGACGCAAGATACAAGCAGCATGCATTTTACTGAATCCATGAGTTCATTCGTTCTATTTCAAGAAAAGATTTCATAGTGAAAAAGGGCATAGCAGTAGCCAGATGTGCATACGGAGGTATAGCAGTCTGTAAAAAATGCTCTCCGTGACTCTGACGCCAAGTCTCTGACGCAATTAGAAGAACTGACTGGCTAGACACTGGTGCTGACCATCGGAATCTCCTTCCTTACGCTGAGTGGGAGCAGGAGATTCGCAAACTGACTTCAGAGTAATGAAACATTTTCTTGCGCTTCCCATTCTGGTTCATACATCTGGATTCATTCTGTCCACCTGTAGTTGCAGTGATGCTTCCTATGTAAGTGTAGGAAGTAACCCTTGTCAAATGTCTCCCGTTGAGAGTGACTACTGCTCGTTGTTCAGGCGAAGTCCTGTATTCGTCGCCCCCTCCTCCACCAGCTTTTTCGATTTTGCCCATAGGTCTTCGAGTTTCTGTCACATTACACATAAATCATCGACGAAATCCACATCTTCTTCAGTTTTCTTATCGGTGGTCCAGCATATCACTGTCTTCTCACCCCCACCCGAATTATGATGCTCGATCCAGCAGGATACATTTAACAATATCATCGGTGATGGTAGGCAGGCAGCCATGTCTTACTGCTGTCTTCACTTCAGACGCCTCACTAAGTTGTCCGTTGTGGATCACTTGATATGTACCCTTGTCACAGAGCTGGCTGTTGAATGAGGATTGTAGATATTTGGAGCAAGCCTCACTAGTACAGTTGATCCTAACAAGCACAGGTGAGATGTTTCCCTATCGCTTTTTGTCGTCTTCAAGCTCTTCTAACTACCTGGCTGACGTGCCTCAGATATTTCTAATTTCCATTAGGGTGCATTATTCCTCTATTCAATCCACCTTTCATTCATTCATACATTCATTCACTCAGTATCACATCTCTGCATTACACATTGAATTTCTATCTGATGAAGAAGACGAATCACTGAGTGATTCTGCACTCTCAACTGACAGCATTTCATCTCCGCATAATTCAATACAATAAACTAGTGTGAGATGAAATCTGCTGATGTTTGTTTCAGGATGTCCATTCTCTCACACCCCATCCTGATTAAAACTGTTCAAGCGGACATTCTGCTTTGAAGTATTCTTCAATTGTGAGAAGTCTCGAGGAGATTACGGCGTCCAGTGATTGGATTGGCTGATGTTCGATGAGGAATTATTGACAAGGTATCAGTACTTAGGTGGTTTTAGACAACGTGTTGAGCAGAGAATCGAACGAAGATTTCAATTCGCTCACGATCGAATAATGTGCTCATTAGTTCATTCCATTGAGCTGTAAATAAAAATAGTGAATTTTGAGTAAAACAGCAAGTATTGAATATAGGCGTCCAGGAAGTTATGCACCGTAATTCACTATTCCGCGTGCCTGCGGGAATGTAGTGGTGGCTCCAGAAGCAGTGTGACTATCAAACACCTCGTCAACACTGCCGATTCCATCTGAACAAACGCCTCTTCCCTCACAGTAATCTACGGACAGAAGAGTGATCTGCCGAAGGCAACTCACCATCGTCTTCTTCGTATTGCTGAAGCCTCACTCATTCACTTGGAAAATCCAGAGTCATGCGTACAAGAGGAAGTCACTCAACCACTCCTACTGTCATGGTGACAAACGTGTTGGTTTCTGATGACTTGCGATTTTTGTGCTTCTTTTTCTGAGTCCTTGCGACTCCTGCATCTCTCTAGAAGTCCTCCACAATTCAATATTCTCCTTCGTTTCCATGTGCATCCTGGTGTCAAGTCACCCAATAAATTATTCACCTTATTGAGTAACTCTAGTGCACCTAACTGACTTCTGTGATGCATTGACAACTCACCTCTACGACTACATTACCATTCTTCAAAACGCGTAGTCACAGTTTCATAGTTCATCATATAATTGAGGGATTTCGATGGTGTAAACAATTACTCTGACTAGTGTTTATTCTTGTCTATCTGACAAGCTCAGTGTGAACAGACGCGCACACACACACACATCAATCATCATGTATGGTGCTACTATAGATCTAAGTGAATGAGTTCGACGTCGGAAAGAGACTGTTCACTGAACTACGTGTTTCTTTGTTTTTACTAATTTCTGGATGGGGATTATTCATGAGCGCATCTGCATGTCAGTCGCATAGACTGACTGAAGGTGAGGGCATTGCTCCGCCAACAAATCCCTTCACAAGTTGATGGCTTCAACGTAACTTTGTGTTTTAGTGATGAGGCAGTCACAAACACATTCCGACTACTACTCGATCAACTGTCGAAGACCGGAAGGAGTATGATCAAATACTTCTCTTTACTGACTGACGGCTTGGCAAATGAAGAATAAATTCTTCATGGTTATTCATTTAGTAATGCATTCGTGATAATCAGTGACTCTCTCGAAACGCTAGAAAAACGCAAGTGAACACATTGATGCTGGTTTCCCGTATTAAACTTATTGTGATGATGCAGTCAAGTTACTATAATAATGACAATTCAGATGCGCTTACATTTTGATGAATTCCTCAAGAAGTATAAGTATTCTGTGAAAAAATTGTTGTGCATAGTTACGCAGAATATTCAGTATGAAATACATTGAAACATATTTCTCAGAGTATTCGTCAGAAGATATTCAGTAAACAACTGTTAGTCACTTGTGAGCAGCTTCTTGACTTCGATGTATGCCAAATTCCTGCACATGGTGTCAACTGGCGAAGTGATACTGTTTCACGTCAGTAAAATGTCAGGCTATTCTGGAATATGTCGTGATTATGCTGCACTTTGTACATTGCAGTCTAACGTGCACAGGTAACCCCTGAATTTCACCCCCTATTTCCATAGTGAACTTCCATACTGAGTCTACATGACAGTTGTATGTGTATGTGACGAAATTCTCAGTATCATTCTTCCGCACTATCACTCACGTGTCATCTGCACATCTCCACCAAGACTCTGTTAATGATATTATTTATGATTCAGGTAAATTGTCCTCCCTAAAATCCTCGATTATGTCAGCTATTATCGATGGGATGAACGATTCAATGACCATCGTTTCATTTCTTCTTCGTGTGCACTCACGACATTGTGACTAATAACGTCAAAGTTTCCTCAATCCCCTTTCCATTGAAAGTGTCCTGATACAGTGTGTCTGAAAACTTCGTCTATTGGAAGTGTCGTGAGTGTCCAAGTGTTCTGAGTGTGCTATTCCGAAATCATAATGAGTAACACTGATGCCGACTGATAGCTGATACCTTGACGTGGTGGTCGCGCTTGCATATCGCAATGACTCAATGAGCTACACTGGCTCGAACTTATGTTCCTGTAGGTCTTACCATCCCAGAAAGGTTGTTTGGATAGCAGTTAGAGAAGAAGCAGCTACCGAATCCAATAATATGTTTCAAACAAACTCACAAAATATCATGCCAGATCGGTCATGGCCCGGATTAACAACGACCGCGCTTCCTGCTGATGTGTCACAGGGCAGAGATGATAAATATGCTACTGAGACACACCAAACAAGAAACAGAAACCAAAAACAGGCCGCGTGTGACCGGAGTGAAGCATTTGTGCCCTGGGCTCTGCCGTCACGCAACACTAACCTTTACTCTCTCCCCTACTCAAGCGTGAGTTTAGCAACCCCACCCTGTAAACAAACCTGTTCTAAAACCTTCTGCACGATGCAAATTTTTGTGCTAAAAGAAAACGTCTGTGTGTGGACATGGAATGTCTGTACCATTTACGAGATTAGCAAAGCTGCCCAGATCGCAAATGAAATGAAAAGATACGGAATTCAAGTACTTGTGTTATGCGAAAGCAGATGGAACGGGAATGGACTCACCAAATTTTCAACGGGTGACTCAGTGATCTACTCCGGTCACCCAAAGGATAACCACATACACAACGAGGGCGTGGCTTTCATGATGTCACCAACGACAACGAAGGCTTTGACGCAAAGGGAGGCCACCTCACCCAGGATAATGACCGCCAGATTCAACTCCAAAGGAAGGAAAGTGTCAATTATACAATGCTATGCACCTACAACCAACGCAGACCTCGAAACGAAAAAAGAATTCTACAGACAACTACAGACAACAATAGACAATACTCCAGTCGGCGACATTAAAATACTAATGGGAGACATGAACTCCAAACTGGGACCAGACAACACAGGAAGAGAACTCATCATGGGTAGAGAAGCTCTCGGAGAAATGAATGAAAACGGAGAACTCTTCGCCGACTTCTACGCCTTCAATGAACTAGTGATTGGTGGCAGCGTTTACAAACACAAGGATATCCACAAGGCTACATGGGTGTCACCAGATGGGCAAACCAAAAACCAAATTCACTTCATCTCAATCTCAAGGAAGTGGAGGTGCAGCCTACTGGACACGCAAGTAAGAAGAGGATCAGACGTTGGCTCAGACCACTATCTCGTACAAGGGAAATCCAAATCAAGTTAAGAGCTTACGGAATCCTTCGAAGTGAGGACAGGAGTAAAACAAACTGGCTGCCTATTATCGCCAATGATTTTCCTGATTGTGGTAGACTGGATAATGCGGGCAGTGAGGAAACAGGCATAAAATTGACTCGAACAAGAACTTGGAGGATCTGGACTTCACCGATGATATATGTCTGAGTCCCACAAACTGGGAGATATGCAGGCAAAAAGCAACAAGTTGGCAAAAGAAGCATCCACAGAAGATAGGACTTCAGATGAACATAAAGAAAAAAGAGGCAATGAAGATTCCTGGACAAGAACAACAACAACAGACAACGATCAGCATAAATGAGGGACCTGAAAGAAACAACCTCTTTTACCTACCTGGGAAGCATCGTTTCAACTACAGGCGAACGGAACTGACGAGGATATCAAAGAAAGAATCGGAAAAGCAAGACAAGCTTTCACTACTCGCAAGTCTCTGTGGAGGTCAATAGCACTCAGTATCAAAAATAAGATCCGGATTTACAACTGCAATGTGAAGTCAGTGCTACTATACGGATCTGAGACTTGGTGCGTCATAAAGAGCATCTCAAACAAACTGCAGACCTTCATTAACAGTTGTCTTCGCTCAATACTCAAGATCAGATGGCCAGAACAGATCAGTAATAGAGATCTCTGGGAGCGAACCAACCAGGAACCGATTGTGCAAGAAATAGGCAGGAAGAAATAGAGATGGATTGGCCATACTCTGAGGAAACCATCAAGTGGCATCACTAGATAAGCCATTGCTCGAGTGGAACCCGAAAGGGTAGCGGCGAGTTGGTCTTCAGTGCAAGGGTGACTAGGGGGAGGTCATGTGAAAAGGAGATGAAAACGTGTGGGCAGACATGGAGCCAGGTGAAGACTCTAGCAGAGAACCGAACGCAATGGAGCCGCACGGCTGAAGCCCTATGATCCTTTAGGAATTAAAGGAAACAATAATAGTAATAACACAGATGTCTCTGGCATATGAACACCAGATGGTGTACATTTTCACCATGTTCATTTATTCACTTTTGATTAGATTTAATTTACTCTTTTGACTAAATCCTTGATGAGAACTACTCATACATGTTAGTAAAATTAGTTACAAAATTGTAAAATCAGTTTAATTAGACTACTCCTACATCCCACACATAGGTGCACAATATTTGAAATAGAGAACGACCTTACTTCCGTAATCGCCAGGAATATTCTTCCACCCATCTGCAAACAAATATGGGAGTTTCATCATTTGCAAGAGAAACAAAAATCTGTGATTTGTGTGCAGTCAAAGAGTAGGCTTCACGATATGATGAATAGGTTTCGAATGAATTCGATGTATGCAATCTATGAAATCTGTTTGATTGAGTTAGAAGTCGCTGAAACTGCGAAGACGCGTTTCGTGGGGAAGTGGGAAGACGATCTGAATGCAGTGTCATCCTCGCTCCTCACCATCCAGGTAGTGGGATTTTAACTGAAACAACTGACTGGGCAGTAAGCAGAGCGGTGTCTATCCGAGGCACTCAGACACATCAGATTGCAGGCATTCCATGTCACAATCAACAGATCATGCGTGATTCTAGAAGTGCGTGCAAATGTGACGTCACCTCATGCTTTGTCTTGTCTGACGAGTGTTCCAATCTCTCAGTGATGCAGTTTGAGGATGCTTGTGCATTTTACATATCTATCCTCTTCAACTTGTCAACCTGCTTGAATAATTCTCACACCTGAGTTTAAATCCAACACGATGCAACATATTCTCTGTGATCGAAATTATTTTGCCAATTCAATCATTTATTTCCCTGAGTGAAGAGACGTACTCATGCACATTTTAATTGCGTTGTGAACTACGGTTGAGCATTTCTCGCGGAAGGCGAAGAAAATCTATCGAATGTGATTAGTCTATACCTTATATGAAAGAGCAATGAATGAGGAGAAAACAGAGTACAATGAATTACGATATGTACTCTGTATACCAGGCGAGGATTTTGTCTGGAGGACAGCTGTTATTATAATGATGATGATGATGATGTTGATGGTGGTCTCACAATCTCCAATTGTGTTTCAGGCAGCAACATTACTCACTTACATACGAAAGCAAGCCTGACAAACTACGTTGTCATTACTGACTATGACATTTCAAGCGTCAGTATGTAGACTGAATCATACGATTTCTTCTGTGGCTATAGATGAACAGATGGTTTGTTGTGGATTCATCGGAAATCTACTTATTCGCTACCAATTTCCTGCACCACTACTGGACTCCGAAGACAGGTAGGTGAAGCGAACCTCAAGATGATGGCAGGTCACTATCAGTCATTGCAAGGAGTTAAACAGATGATAAGAAAGCTTATTTGTCCGAAGGAACAGAGTGCAGTTCAACTTACAAGTCCCCACTGGTGGTTCTGCAGTTGCTGGTTTTCCTGTGGAATGTGAAAATCGTATTATAAATACACGAAAATACTTACATGTTCACAGATAAATGGCGAGTAATAAGTAGTGAGATTTCTTCACGGTGCATACTTTATTTATCGATGTCGAAATTCTCAGCACATAGAGAAGAGGCTTTGTAAAGGATCGGTCAAATCACGCTGGCACTAGCGCCAACGAGACATCCAGTGTTCGGTTTACAACGCATTTGAAGGCGTCAGCAAACGCACTTTCCCCCAGAAGTCAAAGATGGCGATATTTTGAGTGGATGGCTGTCTCTCATTTGGTTAGGTTCGGTATAGAAATATGCTAAGCGACCTGGTTATCAGGCAAGCGTGTTCAAGATGTAGGCTGAGTGAAGACACGCAACTGTCAATGCTGAACAAAGGTAGCAATTCTGGGGCATCTGTTCCATTGTCAAGCTTCTGGCCTCATCAGGGAGATCTCCTCACCGGGCTGCATTCACAGTCATAGGTGTGGTGCATTCAGGTGAATATTGTCTAAGTTGACGCACAGAAAGATGTGCAATTTATACAGGAGACAGATTATGTGAACATGAGTTATCATAATTTTTAGATATGGTGTAGTATATGTGTAGCTCACGTGGATAGTGTGCATAGGGTTTCGGTTCGTTTAGATATTCCTCAATGAAATTTTATCGAATCAGCAATTTGTTTATGTGATCGTCAGTATCCAGCACTTGAAGCTGGCACTGAATATCCGAAATCCTTTGCAAATTCTATCAGTGGGACACACACACATTTGCCAAACACATTGATTCTCTGTTTCGACATCAGCGCTAAAAGTCTGAATCGTCTTACTTATTGTTAATGCAGTGCCTTTTCACATTGTTTTGAGAATAATGCAAATCTATCTCGCTTTTGTGATCCAACATTCGACATGCCAAATAATGCTGCCGATGTTTGAGTCGATGCTGCCTGGATAATTAGGAGAATGAGATTACTTCAAATTTATCCTGTCAGCAGTTATCATCCTTGTTGTTTAGTTGCCATCACCGAATGCTTACTCATTCTAGATGTTACGCGTGCAGCTAGTTCTCATAAATATTTGGACTGAACATGTTATCCCCAGAGCCCATGCCATATTGGAAATAAGTCGTCCGAGAAGTCAACATCTTACACCGTCTCCCTATATACAAAACGCATTTCTGTGCACACGCACAGATGGATTGCTATATTATCCAGCATACAACATGAATACGAGTGTGGTTTCCGACTACGTAAAAGCATGCACGTCTCTGTTTCCTATGGAATTTCAAAAAACTCTACAAATTCAGTTGATAGTTGTGAGAATCAGTGAAGAATGAAGATGCAAGTGACCGTTATTTTACTAACTCCATGAATTTATTGGCTATATATCGGAAAAGGATTTGCATTTGTGTTAACAAACTGATTAACACAGGTGAATGAAGTTACCATAGCAGAAACAATGATTCGTGCTTACCTCCGTGTCCTGATTTCCCGTCTCCGTGTTCTAATAGTTGAAAAGAAAGACAAAATTATTTGTTTATTTCAATAACTAAGAGGTGAACGAGTCGGTTCTCGACTGAATTAGAACTGTAAGCTATGGTCATTCCACTGTGTCTCATAAGTCCAAGTCAAGTGATGATTACGAAAATACCTACTGTCTGGATGAGGTGTAGTGCCTTGTAGTCCTAGAGTGATTGACAGTCCAGTCGCCTCATTAATGAAATAGTCTTGTATTTCACATCATGACTTATGACAATTTAGTATTTATATAAATGTATATATATATTCATTTATATGAATGACGATTTGGTAAAAGTGTTTAATAAAGAGATGACATAATTTGGAGTTCAGTGGGGAATGACGTTAACCTGAGAATCACACTCCATTCATCGTCTCCCATTCCAGTTCCACTCGAGTGCTAGCCTGCCGCGCGGTGTCGTTCAGCGGTCTCCTCAGCGTCTGTCCAAGGCATTGCCATTTCCTTTGAAATATCTGTTGAGCGATGGGCCCTGGCATGCTGGCTCCAGTCCAAAGTTTCTTGTTGCTACTTCTTTCAGGTTGGCCGCTAGATCTGCTGAATAGAGCAAGCGGAGAGTGCAGGTGTTGAAAAACGTCTGAGGCAGTCTGTATAAAATGCTCTCCGTGACTCTGACGCCAAGTCTCTGACGCAATTAGAAGAACTGACTGGCTAGACACTGGTGCTGACCATCGGAATCTCCTTCCTTACGCTGAGTGGGAGCAGGAGATTCGCAAACTGACTTCAGAGTAATGAAACATTTGCTTGCGCTTCCCATTCTGGTTCTTACATCTGGATTCATTCTGTCCACCTGTAGTTGCAGTGATGCTTCCTATGTAAGTGTAGGAAGTAACCCTTGTCAAATGTCTCCCGTTGAGAGTGACTACTGCTCGTTGTTCAGGCGAAGTCCTGTATTCGTCGCCCCCTCCTCTACCGGCTTTTTCGATTTTGCCCATAGGTCTTCGAGTTTCTGTCACATTACACATAAATCATCGACGAAATCCACATCTTCTTCAGTTTTCTTATCGGTGGTCCAGCATATCACTGTCTTCTCACCCCCACCCGAATTATGATGCTCGATCCAGCAGGATACATTTAACAATATCATCGGTGATGGTAGGCAGGCAGCCATGTCTTACTGCTGTCTTCACTTCAGACGCCTCACTAAGTTGTCCGTTGTGGATCACTTGATATGTACCCTTGTCACAGAGCTGGCTGTTGAATGAGGATTGTAGATATTTGGAGCAAGCCTCACTGGTACAGTTGATCCTAAAAAGCACAGGTGAGATGTTTCCCTATCGCTTTTTGTCGTCTTCAAGCTCTTCTAACTACCTGGCTGACGTGCCTCAGATATTTCTAATTTCCATCAGGGTGCATTATTCCTCTATTCAATCCACCTTTCATTCATTCATTCACTCAGTATCACATCTCTGCATTAAAAATTAAATTTATCTCTGATGACGGAGACAAATCACTGAATGATTTTGCATTCTCCACTGACAGCATTTCATCTCCGCATAATTCAATACAATAGGCTAGTGTGAGATGAAATCTGCTGACGTTTGTTTCAGGATGTCCATTCTCTCAAACCTCCCAACCTGATTAAAACTGTTCAAGCGGACATTCTGCGTTGAAGTATTCTTCAATTTTAAGAAGTCTCGAGGAGATTGTGGCTCTCAGTAATTGGATTGGCTGATGTTCGATGGGGAAGTATTGACAGGGTATCAGTACTTGGGTGGTTTTAGACGACGTGTTGAGCAGAGAATCGAACGCTTGTACAGATGACCAGTGATATCATGAAATGCATCACGTATATACATGCATGTGGATATCCCCTCTTCTACAGGCCACACATTCACATTCGAAGGTATCAAATGTCACACAATAATGTATTGAAACACTTTAACTCACTCTTCAGATATTTGTGCATGAATCCTACATTAGTTGATGAAAGGAGACAAATTAGACAGTAATTTATAGACATATTTGTCAGTGTGTGATATGAAAAATAAAGGAGTGAAGACGAGCCTACATCAGTGAGAGGACCACTGTCAGCCCAGTTGTGCACTATTCCGCAGCACGCACACACCACAGTTGTGTGTGAAGTCTGAACATTCCGGCTAAGAGGCGAGCTGGTGGACCCTTCACCCACTGAAATCTAACCCAATGGTCAATGAATAACAACTTCTGCCAACTCATGATATGTAACAAGCGCAACCACCAGTGTGACCAGTGATGAACACCAAGTCAGGGAAGAGGACATTTACTCACCTGTGACACTGGCTGGCGCTTGTGCTAAATACGCATTACGAATAGGAGGACGCTGGGATATATGGAATATTGAGTTTGTTACCAGTCGCTTTATTGTCTATATGCGTGGCTCGTTACCAGATAATTCCTATTTCCAACCTTCGTGTGTGTGTGTACTGAAGATGAGTCGAAAACTTGGCTGACGGAACAGCGGTGCATTGCTTCGTGCTTATCTTTTAATTGATCTCGAAACATGATCACTCTTGTTGCCAACAGGAACACTGCAAATGAATACTTAATGCACAACATGAGAGTTATCAGGGGAAAAATTGAGAATGTTACCTCTTCTCCTCTTAGGTAAATTTTTATTTAATTTATTTTGATGACAGCTTGATTCCACACTGTATTTTCAGTACAAGTATGGAATTTTCAGCATGGATATCGGTAGCCCAAATTTAGAGGCCGACCATAGATATCGGGTGTGCGCCGGCAGGAGATCGATCTCCTGACCATGTGCATGGTCGGCGAGTCCTAACCACTGTGCACACTGTGAGATGGACGAATGAGCTGCAAAGTTAACGTTCAATATCCAGCCTGGGAAGAAAATCAACTCTTCCCTGACATCCTATCCAGCGAGAAATTTAAGTCAACACCACTTCCTCTTCATCTGTTCCATTCCATCATTGACTTGATGTGGAGGACAAGAATAAGTCTGTAAGACTGTATTGCTGACTAGTACCAGTCAACAATTAGGAGACATAGGACCAGGAGCGACTTCCTGTCAGTTACCTCCAAACACCGAATAACGAGAATCCTGAGTACACAGTGATGAAGATCTGCCTAGCTCGTTGGTGGTCACATTGTAAACTAGACTGATAGAATCCAGTCTGCAGCAAACGCCAGGGATAACAGGCATGACATCGATTTGTGTCCAATCGGAGTACCACATATCTTGTCATTAAACTGCATCCCACAAAATACATTTTTCATTTTCGCCTCGTGTGTCATGGAACCGAGAAATGCGTTTCCTTGAATACTGAGATGGTATGTAGTACTCATCATTACATATGTGAAACACCTCTTCTTCAGACTACGTAAAAGAAACACCTCTTAGTATTCTAGCAAGTAACCAATCAAGTGTGTTATTTTTTGCTTACTTTTTGGAACGAAAATACTTTTGCCTCGTTTATCTGTGAAAATAATTTACACGAATACACATTAATTTAGATAAATACGTTGATTAGTTGAATGACACGAAAGAGATATCTGAAAACTGTGCATTTCCTTGAATATTTTCTCACGTTTTGTGGACGAATCTTATGTCACCATGTGGTGACATTGTCGTAGCGTAATGTTCCTTACACGTTGTACACAAACAACCACGATTCTCCGGGCTAAATCAGTGAACACCAGCGTCATTGAAAACCTGCATGCTCATTTGTAGCATACATCGCTGACAGTCTCAGATCAATGAGGAGGTATACTGCAATTCAAGAGGTTGTTGGATTCTGGTCTAAGTGTCTGCATGGTGAAAGAGGGATGATCGATCCTCGGTGGGGTCGGTGTGCTCGCTGTTGTTGCAGAGGCCCGAGAAGCGTCTCGAATCAGTAGAACTCAGTCATCTGGCGCCTGCTGATATTATTTAGTGATTCATCTGCTCATTTCTGCTCATGTAGAGTTCTTCAGTGAAATGAATACATTTCTGCACAAATCCAAAACATTTAAGTAATATATGCCATCATTTCATCTTGGAAAAATATCTTGACATAAATTTCAATTCGCTCACACTCAGATACGAATTTCGTCAAATCATCCCAATCAACTGTAAAAAGAAAGAGGTGAATTTTAAGTAAAGTAGCAAGTATTGAATATTAGTGTCGACGAAGTTATGCACCGTACTCCACAGTGACAGGTGAACTGATATATGCACAGAGAAGTGAGCATATGTGAGATCTTGTTCTCAAGACTTCTACAGCCCAATGGCCGACTGATGAACACTACGCTTAGCTCTGCTCGCTCGACGTGTATCCTGTCAAAAAGAGCTGAGAACAACTATCCTGCATGTCTGCGGGAATGTAGTGGTTGCTCCAGAAGCAGTGTGATTATCAAGCACCTCGTCAACACTGCCCATTCCATCTGAACAAACGCCTCTTGCCTCATAGTAATCTACTGAGTGACGGATAATCTTCCGAAGGCAACTCACCATCGTCTCCTTCGTATTGCTGAAGCCACACTCATTCACTTGGAAAATCCAGAGTCATGCGTACAAGAGGAAGTAACTCAACCACTCCTACTGTCATGGTGACAAACGTCGGAAAGAGACTGTTCACTGAACTACGTGTTTCTTTGTTTTTACTAATTTCTGGATGGGGATTATTCATGAGCGCATCTGCATGTCAGTCGCATAGACTGACTGAAGGTGAGGGCATTGCTCCGCCAACAAATCCCTTCACAAGTTGATGGCTTCAACGTAACTTTGTGTTTTAGTGATGAGGCAGTCACAAACACATTCCGACTACTACTCGATCAACTGTCGAAGACCGGAAGGAGTATGATCAAATACTTCTCTTTACTGACTGACGGCTTGGCAAATGAAGAATAAATTCTTCATGGTTATTCATTTAGTAATGCATTCGTGATAATCAGTGACTCTCTCGAAACGCTAGAAAAACGCAAGTGAACACATTGATGCTGGTTTCCCGTATTACACTTATTGTGATGATGAAGTCAAGTTACTATAATGATGACAATTCAGATGCGCTTACTTTTTCGTGAATTCCGCTGATAGATTGGGTATTCTGTGAAAGAAAATTTGTTTTAGTTACGAAGAACGCAAAGTACGAAGTGCAATGAAACCGATTTCTCACAATGTTCGTCAGAATATATTGAGGGAAAACTGTTAGTCACTTGTGAGCAGCTTCTTGACTTCGATGTATGCCAGTTTCCTGCACATGGTGTCAACTGGCGAAGTGATACTGTTTCACGTCAGTAAAATGTCAGGCTATTCTGGAATATGTCGTGATTATGCTGCACTTTGTACATTGCAGTCTAACGTGCACAGGTAACCCCTGAATTTCACCCTCTGTTTCCATAGTGGATTTCCATACTGAGTCTACATGACAGCTGTATGTGTGTGAGACGAAATTCTCAGTATCATTCTTCCGATCTATCACTCACGTGTCATCTGCACATCTCCACCAAGACTCGTTTGATGATATTATTTATGATTCAGGTAAATTGTCCTCTCTAAAATCCTCGATTATGTCAGCCATTATTGGTGAGACGTGCGATTCAATGACAGTCGATTCGTTCTGTTCTTCGTGTGCACCCTCGACATTGTGACTAATAACGTCAAAGTTTCCTCTATCCCCTTTTCATTGAAAGTGTCCTGATACAGTGTATCTGACAACTTCGTCTATTGGAAGCGTAGTGAGTGTCCAAATGTTCTGAGTGTGCTATTCCGAAATCATAATGAGTAACACTGATGCCGACTGATAGCTTATACCTTGACGTGGTGGTCGCGCTTGCATATCGCAATGACTCAATGAGCTACACTGGCTCGAACTTATGTTCCTGTAGGTCTTACCATCCCAGAAAGGTTGTTTGGATAGCAGTTAGAGAAGAAGCAGCTACCGAATCCAATAATATGTTTCAAACAAACTCACAAAATATCATGCCAGATCGGTCATGGCCCGGATTAACAACGACCGCGCTTCCTGTTGATGTGTCACAGGGCAGAGATGATAAATATGCTACTGAGACACACCAAACAAGAGAGAGGAACCAAAAACAAGCCGCATGTGACCAGCCTCAAGCGGTTGTTCCTGGGCTCTATATATCCTGAGCAGAGCTTATTCATCAAATTGTTCATCTTATTACGTAAATCTAACAGACTCATTTGACTCCGTTTATGCATTGACTATCATTAGCAACGATGATACCAACAGCATAACTATGTCGTCAGCGTCATATCATGTGGACATGAGTGAGTCTTGTCTGGAACGAGGAAAGCATGTGCAGTAAGCATGTATACAGCTGTTACTACTGTTAAAACCATAAACAAGCTTCTTCGTCCAAATTTAATCAGTTTTAATTTTGTGTGTTTAAGTAGACGACAAATGACCTATATAACGTATTTATATATATGCGTGTTTACCATGCATAGAAGTTTCTATAGAATTCATTTGTATTCTGAACAAAATGTTCTCAGTGCGCTATCAAACTCTGTCGACGTACAGTTGCACTGTGTGTCCCAGCTCAAATGCGTGAACTTACTTGGAAATGCTGGTCTCCCGTTGGCTAATTGAACATCGGAGTCTGTTAAAAAGAACGGATTCAATGACATGACAAACAACAAGAAGAGCACAGCAGATCTGGTGACATCTTTAAACTAAACGAAATATATTCACTTATCTATTTGCTGATTTAACAATAGAATTCGACCAGAGTGAAACTCTGTACTTATTGAAATTAACAACTTTCACAATATCACGAACATCAAAGCGATTTGGATCAGTATTTTCAGTAACTCTCTACCTTGAAAAATCATTCCAATCAGTATTAGTCAAGATATGAATAATCTATACGATCACTAAATCTCTACATTCTCTGAAGTGAGAGCTACTAATGAATTGATTTCCCCTCGATCTGTGTGTCTCCACATTGGTTAAGTTACATTCACTGTGCATATTTTATATGTATGTTAGTCTGTTGTCAAATATGTTTATCTAGCCGGAAATTGCATATTTCTTCGCTGAATCATACCGTGGTCTAAATGTATTCCAGAACGTTAAAATTTACTCAGTGAAAATTTGTCTTTCAAAATTTGTCAGAATCTTATGTAAGTAAATAAGTGACTTCTAGGAAACACCACTGGAATAAAATCGGAACGGCTTTGTGTTTCATTTATGGCAACCAATATGTCTGGAAAATGACACTGTTTTGTTTTTGTATGAGTCTTACACAAACTTCTTACCAAGGGTATCAAAATCTGAAGTAAAATGGGAATCATTGATATCAGTATGATACTTGGGCACTGTGATAGATTATAACTCCATTATGGATAAAATTTTATTTTGATAAATCACACAGTGTACTGGAAACTTCGTCAGTTAATACTAATGGACAGCAAATTGTGTGATTTATCGAAATAAAATCTTATCCATAATGGAGTTAAAATGGATATACACGCTAGTCAAAATATTGTAGACTGTCAAGTAAGATAATAACAATCCTTATTCTTACAAGATTTGACGATAAAACCATTGAGTCATTCAACACAGGCAAAGCGTACCAAACACTATACTGAAAAGTCGCGTTACATATAGTCTAAGTAGGTTATAGAAGCTTAAATCATCACATGTTTAAATGTGGCTAATTACCTCGGTACTTACAGTTAGTTCAGTCTGTGAGTATATATACACTCATGTATATCTAAGTGACCAGCTAAAAACTAGAGCTGTTGAAAACATCCATCATTATATTGCATATAATTCCTCTTCTTCAGTTCGTTTTAATCAATTAAAGCACGACTTCTGATTGTGTTTTTTACGCCGTTAAGTGATTATAGAACTGTTATAACCTGCTGCAGTGTCAATTCCCAAAAAAAATTGAGAAATAGCGTAATCGTGAGTGTCAACTTGTCTCAACAAATGAGGTAGTTGTTCCTCAGATTTTTAATACAAACTGCCACCGCTCAAGAGAAATAAAAGCTAGCTATCTGCAGTCTTTATTTATTCAGCACTGTCCCTCGATATCAAATTGTTCTCCTGACCAACTTCTTTCACTGTGCATTTCTCGAGGGAGGCAAGTAATCAGGATTACTGCAGTACTCTATCAAAAAAGATTTGCTCAGTTTCTTGCCTTGATTCATCAAATGTTCGAAGAAGTGAATAAATGGGGGTAAACTGGCGACGATACCATGAAAATAATTAATGAAATGTTTAAGTTTTCTATGTCATTCTTTAAATGAGCTAACTCCAAAGCTTTTCTCATCACCTCGATATCAACCACACAGTTTTAGAAAGTTCAACTATATAGAAAATAATTATTTTTACACATTTACTTAATATTAAAATTATCACTGTAATAAAATAAATAGTATTTACATTAACGGTAAATACTTGTGAATACTCAGTTTAGATAATTACTCACCTGCAACATCAATAACGACGAACAGGAACAAACAAAGGAAGCAATAGATCTTCATGTTGAATGTGTTGTAAGTAGAGTAGTTCACGCGCTTTTATACTGAAACAGATGTCGTTGTGAACGAATCATCAAAAGCCAAGTTATTCTGCTTTTACTATTGGTTGAGTGATTTCAATTCCTGCTACTGATTGGTTACTGATTAAGGCGATAATGTGATGATTTTTGTTTTCACATAGTCGACTGCTCTTTCTTCTCTGGAAGTAGAAAACACCACACATGTTAAACAGTGGTAGTTTTGTAACTTGCATTAACCAGTTTCTAGTTCGAAGACGAACTAAGCAGGAAGAAAAGTGGTTGCTAAACGAAGATGAAACGATATTCGAATGTGGCTCCATAGAGATCAAAATATTCGCGAAGCAAAAAATGAATCAAAAGTTGCGCTTAGGATACAAACTACATTCGGATGTGTCTCAAATCTGTCGAGCACACAAATTTGATATTGAACAGTCTTGTTTAAATGTTTACAGTGATATTCACACCATCTGATAAAAATTTGAGTCTCAAAAATCTCAGTAATGCCGAAACAAATTGACTTCAAGGTAGAAGTAGAATTCAATAGAACGCTCAGGAAGGATGAAAATCCTTCAAGGAGATCAATTCACGAAAGCCTTCATGTAACGGAGACTTGAAAACGGGAAGAAGAATATTATACATTCACATTTCTCAAACTGCTTTCTCAAGGAAACCTGAAAGAACTCGGAAGAACCCTGCTGAACCGTTGACTTCTCACCGAGACAGACAGGCATAGATTACATGTCAAAATAACTGCTGAACAGATACAAGTTGCTTCCAAAAGATATTTCTGCTGAATTTCAAAAATAGAAGTGATAATAAGCCAGCCATACTCTGAAATCATCTCACAAATTCCCCCGATAAAGCATACTTCTCTGTCATCGTGTTAAATGACATGTACACCCAGTCAGTATATGTGGGACAAACTGGAGCACTCGGCTACATCGGAATGCCTATACCACTTCATCTGCTCCTGTGCAGCTCATTCAAATGACCGTAACACACATCAACTTGTATAATCCACTCTTGAATGTGACTCGACATCCACAGCAGAGGAAGAATATAAGTGAGTCTGTAGTACCTCTATATTGATCCTGATTCATGTAAGCATATTACGCCTTTAGAGAAAGCAATTTTGTATACGCTTGTGAAATATTCGCCATTGTATTATTGAACACTCCTTCTCGTTTGTGACATATAATTATTTTGTATGGTTGCAAACTCTTTCGTACTCCTCGCGATTTTCGAAATTTGATTTCCTCGACAATAAATCTTTTCAAGTTTTCACTTGTGCCTTTTAGTACGGCGTCGTTCATCTTTGGCAGTGTACAGCGTCAGCACGACCTAGAACCTGATACGTTGATGAACTATGGTATTGTGATCGGAGTCATATTTAGTATGCAATAAGTCTAAAAGTCGACAGTTCGAAATCTCGTGAAATTAAGAAATTTACAATAATTTAAGAAATTGCTCACAGTTGTAAACAAGACACTATCAAACGCCCGATGAAGATTTCAGGGCATAAATGAAACATTATTATGGTTAAGTGTCAACACGACCTTCATCATCTTCTTCTTCTTCTTAGTACTTTCTATCATTTATTGTGTATAGTCCGTGTTATCTATTGCTTGCACTTCTAACTGAACTCAGGGCTTCGACAACACATCTAAATTTCGTCCTGCTATTCGTCGTGTTTTCTAGGTGTCTTCACGACATCCCATGAGCTCCTTCATCCTATTCATGTGAAATTCGTCACGTCACTCTCGGATGCCCTACTCGTCACTTCACAGGCAAGTTACATTAGACAGCTTGACGGAGAATGTCACTCAATGTTCCATTCAGAGTAAATGTCCCCTTGATGACTCTTTTGTCTACAAACGTTTATTGTAGTCTGTCGATCCCAACTGATCAACCCGTCTTCAATACCGCGTTCAGGCAATGGGTAATGAAAGTACACACTAAATTTTCCCAAATGTTTCCTGTAGGGTGATTGATGGCTGATTGCACTGAATAGAAGAAGGGACTTCATATCAGCGTAGACGTCATGAGTAGTGCTGCAATTCATGGCACCTAGTTCAGCAAACAGAAACAGAAATAACTAAACTGAATCTGTGGCAAGTCATGTGCGATTCGGATGTAGACAGTGTGATGGCATGAGAATCACCTCCATTGAACGTTTGCTAGCAAACAATCTGACTCAACTACTGTGAAGATGAAATCGCATAGAGAACCAGCCGTAGAATGGTTTCACCAGCACTTATTGGATAAAAGTTTATGTGTAAATATTGTTTTCGTAATGAATCGAATGTCCACAATATTCACTGTATTTCAATGCATCGCACAAGACCTTCAAATATGATTCCACAGAATGCATAGTCGACAGTGGTCAGTGAAAAATTCCAATAGGTAAAACAAGTGAATAATTACTGAAGATTTACCTTCCATCATAGACAGATTTACTTCAAAGACACAGAGGGAAGGTGGCTCTTCACCTATGCGAAAATCCGGCTCACACTGAACCACTCCTCACAGTTGACGAAGTGTTTGAGACAGTAAGGAGAAAGCAGAATTAAGCCACAGGACTAACATCAGTAAGCGAACAACTCAACACACCTTGAAGCTGCTGTAAACAGTCTCCGTATCAAATCATTCTGATATGAGGATGGATTAAAGCCTTTATTTATCGCACGCATAGATTTATGAACACAAGAGTAATGCTGAAAACTGAATCACGTTCTTCAGACAACAATAAAACAGGGACATATTGTATATTACTAGACGTCGTTAGATTCGACTATAGGGAATAAAAATTATCTTTGAAAAGCAGACATTAGTCACTCTTCATACACTTTGGTTGACTTCTTGATTGATTAGCAGCAGTTTCGTTTGTTCAGGTGAGATTTCGTGATTGTGTGAGATTCTGACCGGATGCTCAATGTCACTTCAGATAAAGAAATTAGATAAACCCTTCATGATAGATTAGCCCAGGGATTTCCTTGTTTATCGAAGGAGCTTCTTCTGTGTACAGATAAAGTAGCCGGAAATCCTTCGAACAACACTAACATGCCTTCTAGATCACTATGAAAGATATTTATACTGATATGGTTGTCGTTTCAAGAACAGGGTGTTCTTGAATTAAACTATTCGTTCGTCTTATTTCTTTATTCAACAAGAATATTTGAAGACGTCTTTGTGTGAGTCTAGGCAGCTTCCTAGTCGATTGACTGTACCATGTTTTATGTATGCATACACTCTATTGATTTACGAATGAAGTTGCACAACTGTATCAAAACAGCATTTTTCGGTTCTTAATAAACATTTTCTCATTCCAGTGGAAAAGAAGACAACTGGATCTGGTCTCGTAGTCTGATTTTGTGGAGAGAAGATGCTGGCCTCACGTCCAATCTCCATTCTTTTTCAGGCCTACCCTCAGCTGGAAAACGAAGGAGAAGGTCCAATGCTGTTTTAGCAGCTATTAGACCTAGACCACTCTAGAGGCAGGCGAGCACGCTATCAATTAGTTACCATCCCAATAAAAGCTGCGAAATCCATTTCACTTTGTTTATTGAGTGAATCACAGACAAAGAAACAGAATTATTTACTGTATGACGAGGTTCCAAATGCAATTTATTATTGTCCATCATCACATCAATTATGATTGCTCATGTTTCCTACTTTAGTGTCATAGTTTTCTTTATTGCTTCTCATTTGCTGTAGTGGTAGTAGGATTGTTCTCGAGGTCGATATTAGAAAACTTAAGTGATGATGAACATATCTGCCTAAATTCGTTGTACATTATAATTTAGTTAACATAAATATTTATTTCTACTTTGTCCTTTTAGGCATCTATGCGACTAGTTTATTTAGCGTTTATAGGGTAATTGGGGTATTTAAGTTCGTTTTCAGGTACTGCGGTTAACAAAAATTGATTTGTTCTAGAAATAAATAGTTTGTCAATGTTATCAGCAGAGTGAAACAGTCTGTGCAGAGAGCGTCTGAAACTTATAACCTAAGTGGAAGTTCTGACATCTAGGGAGAGGCTGTTCCATATTTTAGAGTACATGACTGTGAAGAAGTTTCCACGGAGTGTTGACTTAAAGGCTTTTATTGTCACTGTGCAAGTTTGGTTACGCAGATCGTAAGAGCCTTCCTGTGCGAATTGTATGTCCTTACTGTCTGAGAATGATATTTTGTGTAGGACCTTAGAGAAGAATACTAGGTTAATAATAAGTCGTCTTGTCCAAAGTGACTCAAGTTTTAGGATCATGCACTGTGGGATGTAGTCCTTCTTACAATCGTATGCAAGTAATTTCAACGTAAAAAATCGCTGGATAATTTCCATCCTTAGCTTGTCACGTGTGCGAGTGCTGCTAATAATAAGTGGACAGTATTCTAGTAGTGACCCCACACAGGTTTTGTACAGAATTAGCTTGGCTTCATTGTTGTGAAATTTCCTGAGTGTGCATGCTCAGCGCATTCTCGACTTTCGAGTCTGTGATGCCACTCACTTGGAGAATGTTAAGTCACTAGAGTACCTCCGGCCTGAATCAACGACTCTTTGTAGTCTGGTATGGTTAGTCGTTTGAAGCGTTAATTGCAAGTCAATTGATGATGTGCCGAAGCAGATCGAACCACATTTGTTCAGGTTAAATTGTGGATTCCATAAAGACGACCAAGCAGTCACTTTATCTTATTCTATCTGCACAACATTCTCAAAGTAGCCTAGATCATCACATTGAAATGTATAAGCTACTTTGAGGTCATCTGCAAATGTGAATGGTTTATTTTGTGAGACGCAAGCGCATATGTCATTGATACATAGTATAAATAGGAGGGGTCCAATGACACTACCTTGTACTACACCAGAAGAGATTGGGCTAGGTTTCGAAGTTACAGACAGGAGTTTAACTATTTGGGACCTGTTGTTGAGGAATGATCAAAGTCATCCTAATAATGAATCACGTATTCCAAAGGAGTTCAGCTTAT